ATTCATTAAATAAAAGATAAAAAAAAAAAAAAAAAAAAAAAAAAAAAACAGTCAACGCTATCGAACCAAGGTTCGTCTGAGAAACTGTGACAACCAAGAGGTGTCTAAGGAGATAGGACAATGAAATGATATCCTGGATGGGACAATGAGACAGATAAAGAACATTCGGTAAAAACTAAAGAAATTAACCTATAGAGTTAACAATGAGGAATCAATATTGTCTTTATATTTTACTTAATGTGTTATACTAATGTAAGACATTAATAGAAAGGGAACTGGGTATGGGGAATTCTCCTTCCAACTCTTCTGTAAATCTAAAACTAATTAAAATAAAAAGTTTATTTATTTGGTGGCAGGAGTAGAAGATACTTAGTATACCCTCCCCAACTCTAAGATTCCGTGATTCCAAAGTATGCAAAGTGACAAACAGCACAAAATGTGTGTGTGTGTGTGTGTGTGTGTGTGTGTTTGGAGAGATACCAGAAATATACTAGCATGCATTTAGTTCTGTGTATATGTTATGTGGGCAAACATTAGACCATGTGTTTTGAGAGGGGCCCAAAGGTAAAGAAAAAAAGTTCATGCAGGAAACAACTAGCAGCTTTAGAAGAACGCTTTGGAAGTAGCCTAGTATTTGGATATCAAATGTCCTGCCCATGTCACATAACCTTGCAGGGGAGTTTCAGTCTGACCCCATCACAGGCCAGCCCAAGGGTAATCTTCCTGGTCTAGCACCAGGGGGGCTATTCAGTCTATATAATAAAGGCTGGGAGAGGGGGGAGGATTTCACAAGAAAGAAGGAGGTAGGAAGCATCACTATGTTCCTCAAGTAGTACTGATGAAATGCTTGAAGTCTGCATTCCTTAAATAAAAGGTTTTGGAGGAGGGGGAGGGATGAAGAAATGGTGGGAAGTAGGCCCCACACTCATATAAACCCCAATCTAAATGCAGACTTGGCACTCGGATCTTTGCCAAGTTGCCCACCCAGCCTGTCAGGGTACAGCTATGTTAAATTTTGCTGGCTTGCTTACTCTCATTCTGTCTCGGGTCTGAAATTCTTTTCTTATCGGGGGAAAAAGAACCTCTGTTCCAGCCATCTCTTGTAACATATTGCATACATGGTTTTTTGTATACCTGTGTTTAGATGTAATATTACCATACAAAGGTAGGTGACCCAGTGTTATAGGGGTTATCATTGCATGTTAGACTTAGGGACAAATTTTAATTCATTTTATTTGACTATATTTTAAAAATAATGGGCTAAAGACAATTATATTTTTGCCCTTTAAAATCAGTATAGTGGGCCGGCGCCGCAGCTCAATAGGCTAATCCTCCACCTAGTAGCGCCGGCACACCGGGTTCTAGTCCCGGTCAGGGCGCCGGATTCTGTCCCGGTTTCCCCCCTTCCAGGCCAGCTCTCTGCTATGGCCCGGGAGTGCAGTGGAGGATGGCCCAAGTGCTTGGGCCCTGCACCCCATGGGAGACCAGGAGAAGCACCTGGCTCATGCCTTCGGATCAGCACGGTGCGCTGGCTGCAGCGCGCTGGCCGCAGCAGCCATTGGAGGGTGAACCAACGGCAAAAGGAAGACCTTTCTCTTTGTCTCTCTCTCTCACTGTCCACTCTGCCTGTCAAAAAAAAAAAATCAGTATAGTGATTATTTTGAAATCTATGCATATTCATCAGGAGTGACGCCTGAGCTTAAAGCACTTCCTCCAACCCCAGCAAATAGCCTATGCTTTATACTTCACAAACTATTTTATATATTGATCTAATTTGTGTTACTTTTTCTAGATTATAATGTTCTTGAGAACAGAAAAAAATGTCACTTCTGCATCTTTTCTGTCTTATATGGAGCCTGGCATGTTGTACATTTGGGGCACAGGCAGTGTGCAATTTTGGACAAGTAACAGCTTCAGTGTAATGAGAAATTTGGGCTACTGTCATCTCTGAGGTTCTTTCCAGATCTAAGATTTTTAAATTCCCTGCCTGTCTCACTGAATTGGGCAAAACTTCACAAAACGGAAACCTCGGGGAGATTGTGTGACTTGCCCAACTTCTTTTTCATCTTTTGGAAGGTGATAGAAGATTGAGATTCTGGAGATGTCTGTTCTGTGGGAATTGGTTCAGAAAGTCTTTTCTGTGGGTTTTCAATAATTTATTATTTGCAGTTAAATTTGTCCTTGTTAATGTACACAGAGCTGATCAAATGAGAATGGTTAAAATATGAAAGGATTAAATACAAGGATAATGATTTCATCAGACCTTGGAGAAATTATTTTTGAAATTTTTCTGCAATATTTGGAAAATACCCCATGTAATGAAGTTGTTGTATGTGTATCATTCTAATTATGCTGCTTTTCCCTTGAACCTGAGATTAAGGAAGAATAATGGAAAAACAATTCATCATCCACAAATCTCAAAGTCAAAGGCTTTCCATTATCATGGATCCTACTATCTCTGACTCGGCAACATTCTCCAGCTATCCCCGTCCTGTCCCTGATGTATACTGATCCCTTGAAACATCAAGTTCACCTAGAAGAGGCTATTATGTGTGTATTCACTTTCTGTGCAACAAGTTACCCCAACCTTGGAAGTCAAACATTGGTCACACTGGGCTAACATTAGAGTGTCAACACAGCCTTCCTGTATGGAGGCTTGGGGAGACCAACTTCCTTCCCTTTCTCAGCTTCTAAAGGCCACCTGCATTCCTTGGCTCATGGCCCCATCAGATCTGTCTCCTTCCTATAACACTCAGACCTGTTATAGTGGTCACTACTGTATCAGTTCTATAAGGACTCTTCTCTTAGACAGTAGAGCACATGAAGCTCTAATTACACCCACCTGAGCATGTAATGCTAATGTATTCAGACAAAATTTGTTCTTAAGTGCGTAAGCCTTGGTGAAATGCACTTAGATTTAAATCTGAGCTCCACCACTTATATCCTGTGTCACTAAAAACAAGCTGTTTTAACATTTAATTTTTGAACTGTGCCCCCCAGCTCAGTCTCATTTTCTACTACACATATACTCCCCAACCCCCACCACCCCTGAGATTTTTATATGCAAAATTTGCAGAATATCTAGGATGTATTAAATTTTACACTGAGAATCAATCAAACTTCAGACTTAATACATAGAAATAAGTAGAAACAAATAATATAGTATGATTTGATATTTATAAATGAATAATTTGATATATTAATTCTCATCTCTGAAAATATTTTGCAGCACTAATATATACACATATATATATATACACACATACATCTTTGAAAAACTGCCTAATAAGACACCAATGTGATGGATGTTTTTACACATTATAATATAGGATGCTTACAAAGACGGTTTATTAATTTTCCAGCCCCTCCCTCTTCTTACCCAGTCCCATGTGTCTACTTTTCTGAAATTTGTCCAAGCTGCTATGCATTGCCCAGGATTCCCAAATGTACTTCTTCCTTTTCCTCAATACTATATTTAATTACCAAAAGATGATATTTAATTAAGAAACTTGTATGTTATTAGCAAAAAAGCTTATTAAGCTTGATTCAAAATACACAGCTATTTCTTTTGTTAACACAATACCTTTATCAAATCATCACGTGAAGTTAAAACTCATCAGTCCGCCCCGTGGAGCTTCACATCTTGATCACATTTGGGGAATCTGTTCCCTGTGTCCTGCATTTTCTTACATCTCCTCCCTCCTTTGTTCTTTCTCTATGTCAGAAATACACCAGTCTGGCTCATTGCAAACACATTAAACAGTAGACAGTGTATAAAATGAAATGAGAAGTTTATATTCCGACTTTTTCAATCTTCTAAAGAACTCATCAGAGTAAGTTGCTGCCAACCACTGTCCTCCAGGCATTTGCCCATTTGAGTCCAGGGCAGACATCGGCTATGCTCAGGTCCAGACATTTTACCACATGGTAGCCACTATGGCATGGACAAACCAAGGTTGGTTTCTCCCTGATTCTCTCTTTACTGCTAGTGCAGAAATCAGGGTGTTCCCTTCCTTGTATTTATAACTTGGTGCATTTCCTTTTAGTGAAGAAGTAATGAGAAGGAATGAAAAAATCCTTGTAATTCTCTTAAAATAAATCTTTTCCCTCAAAATCTCTCATGTTGCTCTGTTGCCTCTGAGGAGGTAGGCGGTGGTCTGGTGATACATAATTACCAATGTCTTCACTTCCCTGTCTCCTGACAACTCCCCAGGAGGGTGACTGGCACAGGCCCGACTGGTGTGTAAGTCAGGAAAAGCCAGACCTGTGACTGGCTCAGAGAACCATTCACTAAAACCACAATGCTGTTATTGTGCCAAGGTTATATATGTATAAATACTGCATGTATAATATATATATATAATAAAAGCAATTTATCTATGCCTATATGTAAATATATGGAAATGTGTTCTATTGTCTCATTAGAACATTCCATTTCATTAGTATTTAGCACGTTTTTTAATTAGCAACTTCTATGTGTTAGAGACAAGTTACTAAAATACCATTCTGACTTGTGGCATTCTGAAAATGGTTCTAGAATGACATCCTCACACAAAAATATCACCAGCTGGAAGCCAGAAATGGAGTCACATCATACTTATGCACAGTGTCTACCTCCTGCTCCTTCCCTCCCTCCCTCTCATCCTCTAATTCTTATGTCCACACCGTTCTTTGGTCAACTGCCCCCACAACCCCAAACAGCTTTCTCCCCAGTGCCCACTTAGAAAAAGACCAAGACTTAATCTTCCCTCATCCCTTCCTCAGTGAACCCTTCATTGACAGCTTTAACTTCATTCTGCTTTTTCTAACAACACTCATGTGACCGATTGCCCCAGCTGCACTCCACACTAGCCAGTTACCCGGGTTACAATCCGAAGATTGTTAAGAGTAGGAAGAGGAGAAAGAAAACAGACGTTTTGTGTCTGTTCTTCCAGCGGCCAAGAACATTTAGGCCACTATGGAACAAACAAACAAAAAAGGTCTTTAACAAACAGCCCTACCTTGCCCAGGTGGAGCAGAGCTCCAAGACCAGCTCTGTTCATCCCCTGAAGCGGCTCTGCATAGCCCCGCCACCAACCTCCAGTCAAGGCTACAAAAGCTGCACTCCTGAACTGTCTGCAAGTTGGATGTCTGAACAGTTCCTGAAGGAAACAGTGTAGTATTTGACTAATCTTGCATAACATTTTCATAATCCACGCCCTTTGTCCTAAGAAAAAACCTGCTTCCCTGACTCAGGAGCAGGAAACGCTCAAAACAGGAGACTCCAGGCAAGCTAATCAGACTGGAAAAGACTTGCAGCATTCATGGGTCCTGAAGGGGGTCCAAGGTCTACTTTGTTCCAGACCCTAGGCTGGGGATAGGGGTCATGAAGGCAGCCCACACTGTGGCATAGCACGTTACACCACTGCCTGCAAAGCCATCATCCCGTATAGGTGGTTTGAATTCTGGTGGCTCTACCTCCAATCCAGCTTCCGGCTAATGTATGTGAGAAAGCAGCGGAAGATGGCCAAAGAGCTTGGGCTTCTGCCCCCAACACAGGGGCATGAAGTTCCTGCTCCTGGCTTTGGCCTGGCTCACCTGAGCTACTGCAGCCATTTGAGGAGTAAACCAGCTGATGAAAGATTCTCTCTCCTCTCCCCCTTTCTCTGTAACTCTGCCTTTCAGAGAAATAAAACCTAAATTTTTTTCAAAAAAGGAGATATGAACAAGTCATTCTCCTCCACTCAGGAACTGGCAGCCTTTTGGGGGTCACAGATGAGACAACTAGGAATCCCCTGGAGGAGTGCTGAGGCCAGAGGGAAAAGGGCTGAATTCTCCATGGGGGATATGGGGAGGCTTCATCAAGGAAACAATGCCTCCTTTGAGTTTTGAACCATGAATAGGAGCTTCTTTGATGAATGAGAGTTGAATAAGAGTTAGGGTTGTGGGGTGGATATGAAGGCAGAGAAAACACCGTATAGAAAAATACAACACTCTCCAACAGGATTGTGCATTTGGGGAACTGTGGGGTTTGTTCAACCAGATATGTAAACAAAGGAGAGAAGTGAGACTGAAGACACTGGAAGTGTCTTCTGGATGACTTATGAGTGAAAACAATAACTTATTTTGAGCCCTATAAAGACACCACACTTTGGTGTTTGAATTTAGCATATCATCTGTGACTGTGAGACAGAAACACTAATGGAAATAGTTCATTAGTTACTCCGTGTGCTCAAAAATGGGTGATCCAGTTGGCCAAATTGATCCTGAGAAGCAATTTCCAAATATCTAGAATCATTAAATAACATTACATATTAAAGCTGTAATTCATATACTTGAATATTACTTTGACGGTCTGAAAGGATCTTCAAGACCTTAGAATGGCTCAAGCCCATCACTGGCAGGAAGGTCATTCTGTGTACGACCAATGTGATGATGAATAAGCTTTGCATAGGAGGAGGTGAGCTGAGAGTTCTATTGAAAGCATTACTTGCTTTTTAGAGCATTTTTACACCTTCATATACTGAGAAGCCTGCCAGCAGATTGAGTTGGAGCCAGTGTAGTAAATGAAACACTGCCTAATACTGTTCATACAAATAGGAAAAACCACATTCCCCACGTGATGTAGCAAACATAGGGTCTTGTGGTTGAAACTTGGCAAGTCAATTGTCATAAGAGCCCTGAAAGGAAGGTGGAATGAATTGGTAATTTTATCCTGTGTCAGGCCTCCGCCCTTGCTAGTTCCCCATTCCCACAGGTAGGCAAACCCTTGAAACTGCAAGTGCATGCCAGTGTCAACCTTTCCTCCCCCAGTGAAGCCCCATGAATGATTCTAACTCGCTCCATTAGTATTGGCTTTACAGCTTCATTAAATGCCTTCACATCCATTATTTTATTTTCTTACTAATGACCTGTTGGGTACCTAAGTCAAGAAAGTTGTTTTTCTCCTGCAGTTACCCATGTAAGAAGCTAAGGTTGAGACAGGATATGTGTGTTACCCAAGGTCACATGATCTAGACAGCAGCCTTATGTTTATAATAGCCAGAAGGTGTTCTCTCTGTATTTCTGATCTCCATGACAAACATTTTTGTTTTTTCAGAATCCAAGCCAAATATGTGGCTATCCTAGACTTATCCCTTCTTCCTCATTCTTATCACAGTCAAGTCCTGCCAATTCTTCCTTCCAAATCCCTCTTTATCCTTCTCTCTCCATCAATGCTAGTATTACCTATTCAAGCCCAAACATTCCTTTTCTGGGTTACACGAGTCACCTCGCCAGTCTCTTGCTTCCTGACTTGCTCTTGCTCTAATCTATTCTCATAGTTGGTGGGGTCTGACCTGTCACTCACTCACCACTGTAACTCTTTCAAGGACCACAAGTGTTACCCCACCTTTCCGCCTTCACATCATACCTACGTGGATGCTGTTTCCTGTCCAGACATACTTCCCATGACTTTTACCTGGATAGTTTCCACTCACCATTTAAGACTTGGGTCAAGTCACTTTACTTACCCGCTCCACCACTGAGGGACCCTCAACTTGGACCCAATATATCTACCACTTCTGGTGAAAGTATGATCATTCTTATTCATACCTTTGATCACTAGTCTCTCATGACCTTGTTTTGAGTTTTTCTGGGATATATGAGGAGACTTAAAAACAGGTTGTGGAAAAATGGAATTAAAAAATGAAAATTAAAAATACAAGCTATATTGCCCAACATAATCCCTAAGGCAATTTTGTCAGTGATGATACCAGCCATTTTAGTCCATCCCTAAATAACTGAGGGTCCTGGGAATCTTATCACATCAATCCAGTCTATTTTTATATAAATAAAAAAAAGCTGGATGCCTTTTCAAGATTTCTTAAGGTTAGTAAAGAAAAATAAATCAGAAGGGGCGAAATAAGAACTGTATGGTGGGTGCTAATGATTTCCTATCAAAATTGCCAATTTGAAGAGAGGAATGAGTTAGGAACATTGTTGTGGTAGAGAACGACTCTCTGGTAAAGTTTTCCTAGGTGTTTTTTAGCTAAAGCTTTGGCTAACTTCCTCAAACCCTGTCCTAATGAGCAAATGTTATTATTCTTAGGCCCCCAGAAAATCAGCAAGAGAAAATGGCTTGAGCATATAAAAAAACAAAACAAAACAAACAAAAAAACCAGTTGCCATGACTTCTGTTCTTGACCACTTCTGCTTCTTGGAAGCCATTGCTTTGATTGTGCTTTGTCTTTAGGGTCATATGATAAATCTGTTTCATCTCCTGTTTACAGTTCATCAAAGAAACGCTCCAGGACCTTGATCCTGCATGTTTGGAATTTCCTAACACTTTGCTCTTGTTTGTAGTTGGTCTAGATTTAATTGTTTTGACACCCATTGAGCTTAAAGCTTTCTCACTTTCATTTTTTTGGCCAGAATTGTGTAAACTGAACCACTTGAGATGTCTGCAGTGTTGGTTATTGTTTTTGCTGTCAATCATGAGCCCTATTCAATTACAGCATGAGTAAGATTAATATTTTCCTCACAAATGGATGTGGACCATGGCTAATATAGGTTTCACCTTAAACATTGTCTTCCTTCTTCTAAAAATGAGTCAATCATTTGTAAACTGCTGCTTTCTTTGGGGATATTGTCTCCATAAACTTCTAAAGCCTCAACACTTTTTCTAGTATTCCACCCAAGCTTCACCATCAGTTTGGTACTTTTTCTTCATTTTTAGCAGAATTCTGTTGCTCTCACAGGGGACCTTTCAAACTGAAAGCTTATCCTTCTTAGTGCCTCAAACTAGGTCTGTTAAGTTAACAAGCACAAATTTGGGATGATATTGAAATCCAAGCATAGTCTTTTTCATAATACACATGCTCCGTTAAACTTTTGAAGACACCTCATATACCTGGTAGTCAGATTTCAGGGTCAGGGTCAGTTAGTCAGTGTCCCAAAGGCTGGAGAGCAAAGAATTAGTGAGATTGACAAAGATATGACTAAGTTTACATTTTTCTTTGGTTTTTGGGCAAATTGTATACTTAAATTCAAGGTATTGTCAATGATCATAGCTCCTGGGGGTTTATTATTTGTTTATCTTAAGGAATTAATACATTAGATTCTCAGTGTCATAGCAAATTCATAATTAATGCAACACAGTTCTCATCAATTCTCATGTTAATGTGACAGAAATACAAAGAGAACAGATTCCATGTAGTTCATAGGCAATTCTAAGAATATAAAGACACTTCCCTCCATCTTCCTTCCTTCCTTCAACTAGAGTCTCTTTTTAACTCAAGGGGGCATTTCCAAACTTTGGAGGTCTCAGCTGGATTCCAAAAGTCAAAGTCATACCATATCTGAGAGTGTGAGAATCTTGGGATTCTTTCTTTTTCCCTGGGAGGAATGGGAGTTTAGGAAGAGTGTGGGATCAACTATCAATGGTCCACCTTATTATTACAAGGGGAACTTAACACTGAGTGATCTGGTTACTTTTCCATTTGTTTTCTTCATGTGACATCATTGTTCCTATTTGTGCTTGTGAGGTCAGGCCATTGCTTACCCTAGAGGGTTGCACACATTTCATTTCACCCAGTTCCTCCACATTACTTGATAGAGTGTATTGTTTACATTGTCAGAGAAAGTACAGAAGAGATCCCATTTCCCAAACACTTGCTAACAGTGGGTACTCTTTGGTTTTCATTAAATAGCCTGAAATTTCTGTGTCTGAATTGTTTTCATATTCATTTGTCTTGTGACATCATAAATAAAGAGGCTGAGAATCTCTTTGTATACCAGTTATCCTTTCATGCTTCCTTTTCTTTGAATTGTACAGTCATAACTTTTGCCTATTTTTATATTATATTCATTTTTGTTTCTGCGTGATTCATAAGAGTCCTTTGTATTTTCCAGATTAATCCCTTGTTGGTTTTTGAGGTTTCAAATATGTTCTTCTAATCTGCCACCCATATGTTAATGTAATCTATAGAGTGGTTCCTTGAACAAAGGTCTTTAATTTTGATGTCAAAAACAATTTTTACCTTATGGTTTGTGCTTTGGGGTTCTTATTTAAGAAGTACTTCTTCACCCAACGATTTTGAGAGTTCTCATGTTTTTCCCTATTGCTTTTATAGTTTTAACCTTCTATATCTAGGTCTTTTATACCTCTAGAGTTATAT